CACAGCCTTGTGAGTCATAGATAAAATACTCTACGCTATTCTACAATAGTCTGAGCTGTTCTAAGAAGTTCCACACAGCACAAGTAAGTACTGGCGGATTGCCGAGATGCCCGAGATGCCCGAAGGCACTGTTTCCAACAGGCACCAATATGTGCATCCCAAATGTGCATGGCTGCATCCCAAATGGGCATGATTTTTTGATTGAAGGCCGACACAATATACTTGCTGTCAGGTGAGAACAGAATCGAAAAAATAGGTCCGTTGTGCTTTTCAAAAAAAATTGTGACCACAGCCCTGGCCTCGGCATCCCAAATGCACACAGCTCCATTACCGGACCCAGATGCAACAAGTTTGCCATCAGGTGCAAATGCTACTGAGTTAACATGACTGGTGTGCCCTTCCATGGGCTCCCCGACCATGGCTCCAGTGACCACGTTCCAAATTTGCACCCTTGTGTCCAGGCCACCAGACACAATATGCTGGCCATCCGGGGAGAATGTGACCGAGTAGACCTCATAGAGCCTCTTTAACGGCCCAACAACTGTTGCTCCACTCTTTGGATCCCAAATACGATTTTTTTTTGCCATTAGAGCCTGAGACAATGAGCTGCCCATCAGACGAGAATGTGACTGAATGAACAGAACCGGTATGGCCTTCCAGTGATGCACCAGGGGCTCCAGTGTTTGTATCCCAAATTTGCACCATTTTGTAACCAGAGCCAGACAAAATATGCTTGCCATCAGGTGAAAATGCCACTGAATAAACCTGGTTGAATTATGATACTGTTCAGTTAATTTTGTGATTGCAATCTCATCTTCTGCATCCCACCTGCATAGTTTTGGTATCAAGTGACAATGCAACTGATCCAATCCATTTAGTGTGCCCCTCCAGTGTGTCACCAAATAGAGCTCCAGTCTCTGCCACCGGCTGATACTTTCCTTGTATCTAACCAGATCCACGTTCAAACAAGGAAACTCGGACGTAGTGTACGGTGCACGCCCGCATCGCGTACAGCGGGAGGCCTGGGTTCGACTCCCAGCGTCCAAATTAGCAGCTCGGAAGCTCTTTTTCTGTCACGGCGAGCCGTCCAACATGTTCCTGAGTCGCACTTGGACAGGGACGCAAGAAGTAAGAATTAGCATCCATTGAAGTGGGTGATGAACGTCCCTACGGGAAAAAGACTTATATTTTCTTGTTTCGTGGCTCACGCTGATATTAGTTCGTATTTACATAACTAGGTACGCATTCAAGCTAAGAGTTGGGACGTAGTGCACGGCGCACACCTGTTATGTATTGTAAGCACCAAAGACTTTCCTGCAGCAGGAGGCCTGGGTTCGACTCCCAGTGTCCGGAATAGGTTGTAATCGTCACACTTTTGCGTCCGCGATCAACAATGAAGTGTATAATTGTCTTTGAATTGGCTTAGTACACAGTAAGGGGGAAGTATAAAAGCTTTTTTCGCCAAGAAATATGTACTATTAGTAGAGCAATAATGGACTTCTCACATGGCACTTTACAACATGAATATTGTACAATCACAAGTTGAACAATGAACTTGTCCCGGCCGCATGTTTGGCCATATGGCGTCATAGCGCGATGGAATCAGCCAAATAAAAGGCCACAAGACAGGCCTTAATCCCGCCCACCAGGGCATATTTTCAATGGTTGGGCTGGAAAGATCAGTCTCAATTTACCTTTCAAGGTCCTAGAAAACTCTCACCATTTTGATACCCTTTGTCATTTTTTCTGCTAGCCATAGGTTGGCTTCAGACAAGTGTTTGAAGTAAAATATTGGAGCTCACCCTTTCGCAAAATAATCAAAATAAAGGTGCCCGTTTTGGACCGAGGAGCCCGAGCTACTATGGGCCGTGATCGCCGGAGTCACGACAATCGGGTGTTGAACTCGAAGTTCAACCCAGTTCAACTCATTTGTATATATATTCTGTGCATGCCCAAGCTTGGGGCCTAGACTGTTCACAAGTCAGGTACCTGCAGCCTCAGAAATGTACACTGTACAATGTTCCCGAAAGTGTGTTAATAGTTTTTGACGATAAATACCGTCATAGGGAGGACTCAGATGTGGTTCATGGCGCACACCCGTTCTATCTAGTGATCTTTAGGAGGAAATGCAGTGGAAGACGTGGGCTTTCGTTCTTTCTCCCAATGCTCGCGCTAATAATTGTATACTTGGCTTGGTGCACATCAGCTATAGAAACTCGGACGTGGTGCACGAAGCTCGCCTGCTCGGTCCGAAGCCAGAATTTTCCTACAGCGGGAAATCTGTGTTCGATTTTCAGCGTCAGACTCCTCCTTTTTGCGTCCGTGTTCGCACTAATATTGTTTCTCGTATTCAAGTAGGTGGATATTCAAGCGAATAACTCGGACATGGTGCACGGTGCACACTCGCTTTCTCTGTGGGCAAGGATGGCATATAATGCGGGAGGCCTGGGCTCGACTGCCAGCATCCGAATGTGCGAAAGAAATTCTTTCTTGCTTCCGCGTTCACGTGTACAATTTTCCTCATATCTACCCAGAATCCTAGCTGAGAACTCGGAGATGGTACACGGCGCACGCCCGCTCTACCTAACCAATGCGTGACGTCGAGCAAATATAGCGGGAAGCCTGGGTTCGACTCCCAGCATCCGAATCTGCGAGGAGTTTTTTTTTTTTGCTTCCGCGTTCAAGTGTATAATCATCCTCGTATTTAACCAGGCAGACGTCCAAGCTGAGAGCTCGGACGTGGCGCAGGGTACACACCCGCTCTGCCCAACGAATACTTGGACATACAGCGGGAAGAAACGAGTATTTTTCTCGCTCATCACATCGCTCGCGCTGCCGCTTGGACTCTCATCTAGCCAGGAATAAAATAAGGGATACAAGACATGCATGATGATGCCGGAGTGCACTTTGACTATGATTTATGTTTCGGATTTCCGAAAAACAAGTCCAACCCTGTCCTTCCCACTTGAACGAACACCGTTGATATAGCACGACCGGGTGCGGGTCCGAAGCAACAATCATTGCGACTTTCACCTCAATAATAATAATAATATCACGGCTCCTAAGTAGACCCCAGCAACTCTATATTTCTGTATGGTGTTGCTGGTCACCGAGGCATGTGGTTCAATAGTGGCATTCTGGGCTGAGCTCAGAGACGCTAAAATAGCTTTGTTGACTGAAAGCGTAAATGCACTGCGGCATCATCCGCATCATCGGCAAGCTCTCGGCAGACTTCCGGCACACCCACAGTCCTTGCTTCCTTCCTCGCTGTGACACCGCGCTGTCCTAATGCTGCGCCCACCAAGCAGATCATATCGCTCAAGATTCCACATGCATCCATACAAACCGTGGTCTCCCTCAGACAGCACAGAGTCGTGATGTCAAAGGAGCCATCCTTTTCGTGCGCATGAAACGCAGGTGAGCACCCTTTTTTGCTACTATCCACGCCCACGCGATGCTAGTCCTCGACTCCTCGCGCGTTTTTGCACGAGGTGTGCCCATGCGTGCAGCCCCTGCACCGATGGAGACACAGCCGTGCATCGCGGGCAGGACGAAGAGCATGCACGCGCTGCCGCAGAAGGACCCGCATGCCCTGCCCGCCCCCGCGTCCGCCGTTTAGCCGCCCTGCCCGCTCGTCCGACCGCGACCGCGAGCTCGACCGGAGTCGCAGCAGGAAGCGCTCGCCGCCGCCGCCGCTCCCCATGCCGCACAAACGCGACCTCCCCCCGCGCCCGCAGACCGCGCCGCCCCCGCAGATGCCGATGCAGCACCTGTGCTTCGGCGGGTACCCCGCCCCATGTGCAGCCGTACTACGGCCGCGGCCCCGGATACTACGCCGCCGCGCCGCCCTTACCACCCTTACCACCGCTTCAACCGCAGCAGACGCACCGCCGCTCGCGCTCCTCGTCCCAGGCCCCCGCGCCACCCCCGCTCAAGACGCGCGCGCGCAGCTACTCCGTCGCGCCACCGCCCCAGCCCGTCCTGCCCGGCCCCATGCCCGTGCGGCGGCGGGGACAAGGGCGGCGGCGGGCTGAGCAGGGAGAGCACGAGTCGCAGTCGGGAGAGCAGTCGCAGCCGCGAGGGGCGGGACAGGGACAGGGACAGGGACGGCAGGCGGACGCCGCGGCGGAGCGACACGTATTGAGCGGTGCGCTGCATTGTTTCTTTCCCCGCCGATCCGCGCGGCGCCACCGCCACCCCATCTCCGCCTCCACCTGCGTTCCGCTTGCGCGCCAGTACAGATACATCCCACCTGCGCTACCCAACTCCCCAACTTACTCCTCTGCATCCCACATCCCTCCGCGCGCATCCCCCACCAAATCCCCCAAAATCCGAACCGACACAAATCCACAAATCCACATTCGACCCAGAATCCAACCCCGTACACACCCGTATAATCCGCATATCTGACTCTCCTACACACATAAGTACCTCTACACCTCCCTAGCCCGCTGTATCTCGCTACCTCCGCCTCTGTATATATATCCGCGAATCCCCTGCATGCGACTGCGCCACTCAGTTCGATTTAGTCGCGCACGGCGCAGAGCGTGTCCGATCCAGGACTCGGTGCTGCTTTGGTGAGATTGTTGTTCTGAGCTAGCCAGGTACACATCCAAGCTAATAACTCGGACGTGGTGCACGGCGTACGCCCGCTCTGCCTAGTCCACGACTTCTCTGACGATGCGGGGAGTCTGGGTTCGATTCCCAGCGTCTGAACTAGGTGATTATCCTTAAGCTTACTCTTTTGCGTCCGCGCTCTCCAACTCGAGCTGATGATTTTTCTGATATTTAACCCGGTAAACGTTCAGACTGGGAACTCGGGCGTGATGCACGGTGCACGCCCGCTCTCGATATAACGTCTGGGATATCGCCATGCTGCGGGGAGTTGGGTTCGACTCCCAGCGTCCGAACTAAAGGGAACTTCTTCCTGTCTTTTTGGGTCCGTGTTCAAGTGTATAATTTCCCTCTTATTCAGCTAGGTACACGTTCAAGCTAAGAGCTCGGATGTGGTGCACGGTGCACGCCCGCTGCCCTTGGCGCGGAGAAAACAATGTGATACGGGAAGCCTGGGTTCGACTCCCAGCGTCCGACCTAGAAGTAACCTCTCGCTTTGCCTCCGCGTTCAAGCATATAGTTTTCCCCCGTATGTAACGAGGTAGACGTTCCAGCTGAGAGCTCGGGCGTGGTGCACGGTGCACGCCCGCTCTCTCTCTGGTGAGCACCACGAACTTTCCTACAGCGGGAGGCCTGGGTTCGACTCCCAGCGTCCGAACTAGAAGAAGCCTGTTGTTGTTTTTTTGGGTCCGTGTTCAAGCAAAGAATTTTGTTCATATTTAACCAGGTAGAGTCGTAGACGCTGAGAACCCGGACGTGGTGCACGGTGCACGCCTGCTTCTAACTCGTCGCGTTGCGCTTTGACGCAGGAACCCTGGGTTCGATTCCCAGCGTCCGAATAAGTTCAGTTCCTCTTGTTCGTTTTCCTTCTTTCTGTAATCGCATCCGAGTCGCTCGCGCTGATTTTTTTCCCTTTTTTTCGGATTGCACAGGGGCGCAGGAAGGAAGAATTATCATCCATACTGTGAAGTTGGTGATCAACATTCAAACCGCCAGGAAAACGCTCTCCTTGTTGGCTTCCGCGGTGAGGCATACAATTTTATTTTATTCTGATCTAGCCGCCGATGGACGAGGGATGGATGCTCGGATTGGTGTACGGTGCACGCCCGCTTTGTTGGGCGATGCCGGTTTCAACAGCGGGATCTGGGCTCGACTCTCAGTATCCGAATGCGCTGCTCGGAGTTTCTGCCGTCACGGTGAGCCGTTCGAGATTTTTCTCGCACGTACCCGAGTATATGTTCACGCTAAAAACTTGGATGTGGTGTACAGCGCACGCCCGCTTTGTCTTCAAAATTTCCTGGAATAAACGCGGGAAGCCTGGGCTCGATTCCCAGCATCCAAATTATAAAATGCCTCCCACTTTTTCGTTCTTTCTCTTACTGCCGGCGCCCAGAATTTGCTTCTTATTTAACCTGGTAAACGTTGAACCAAGGAACTCGGATGTGGTGCACGGCGCACTGGTTCTGGAAATTAACGCGGGAGGTCTGGGTTCGACTCCCAGCATCCGAATGCGCGAAAGAAATTCCTTTTTGCGTCCGCGCTCAAACAATCAGGCGAATAATGTTGTTCGAATCAGACAAGGTACGCATCCGATCGGATGTGGTGTACGGTGCACACTCATCGCACACTGGTGTGCGAAGCGCTCCTAGCGTGTATATCATCTTTTTTTTGGCCACAAGGTGAGCGCGCGAATACTGTGCTACTTATCTAGTTGCGAATCAAGGATAGGAGCTCAGACATAGTGCACGGTGCACGCCTGCTCTGAATTTGTCGTAGGCATCTCGGTTATTTGGTGCAGGAAGCTGGGTTCGACTCCCAGCGTCCGAATTCTGTGGACATGTCTTTTTTTGGCTCCTACTCAGGCAAGTGCTAAGAAACTCTGCTTACTTATCGTATCTGATTCCAGAGCTAGAAAATCGGATGTGATGCACGAAGAACACCTGCTCTTACAGCTGTTTCCGAATACCCTGACACTCGTCATTTTTTTTTGGCACGCGCAAAGTTTTGATGGGGTGCTAAGGATTTCCGGAATGGGTTCAGATCAGCTGGCAATCAGTGTTGTCCTCCTCCAAAAACTCTCGAGACCGAAGGCTGGAGTGAATCCTCACTGGAGAATCCACATTCAAGAATAAACTACCCAAATATCTGCACCCCGTGGTTGCATAAACATCTGGATCAACATTCGGGCAGAAAACCGACGCGAGGGTCTCGGCTCGCTTAGGCTCGGGACCTCTCGGCTGCACCAAATCCGGTAATCCTTACATCAGGAAAATCCATACCAGCTCATAGCACCTCATAGCACTGGACAGTGCTATGTCATGGCGTACCAAGCACTATGGAGTGCTGTCCAGCACTAGCATCAGTAAAACTACACATTCGGCTTTCGCATCTTCCTTCTTTACGAGATGGCTTTGATCTTTAGAAATGATCTTGAAAGAGATTTGTCTTGGGTGTGCGGTCTTGCATCTTTGGATCACGGTCTTTGAATGTCTTGGTTTTTTTTCACATGTCTTATGGCTTTCCGGTGGGTCTTCCCCATTTGTCGGATTAAAAGATGCCAAAGACATTTCTACATCCAAAGATGGAGGATTTAAAAGAGTAATAGTAGTCTGGATTTAAAATGCTATTTCATGGGAGTGGTGATCTGCATACTTGTTTACATAGAAGGCTCTAAAACTGTCGAGAGACAAATAATATCTAAAGTGAAGAGGAAGGAAATCATCCCCGAAGATGGGTAACAAATGCGCTGCACGGAGAATGGAATCAATGTGGATAATGTCCATAATGCGATTGTTGTGGTCGTCGAGATCCGGCTCGACCATCCACATCCCGACATCAGGACAGGGGCCATCCCCGATGACCGAGAACCATGTGACCAACGCACAAGGATACTCGATGCCCTCATGCTTGACGGACATGAAGAGCAGTACCCGAGCGACGAGTAGCCCGCGAAACCCAGGTTTCGTCGTGTCGTGCTCCACGAAGACACAGTCAAAACGAGGAGCACCACCACGCCAAGAACGCACTGCCCGAATGCGCTCGCGCAGGAGCCCGCCAAGACCAGATTGGTCGCTTGGGGCATAAAAAGTAGCGACGGCTGACGGGAAAACCTTGATACTGCGGGGAGCATCCGGGAGATCCTCGAGGGGGACATCTGCAAGAGGAATATCAAGATCCTCATGGTCTTGGGCGTACAAAAATCGTTGTAGGAGGTCGGGAAGATTTGGAAGACAGAGGTGATATGCAAGTGAATCAAGATTGCGGGGGTAATGATGGACTTCAAGGGGAATTAGTATAGGAGGGCCCTGAAATACGGTTCACGTACTGGGACTGCATGCTAACTTCACTTCCCCTAGGATGTCCCGCTCGTCCGAGCCACTGAGATCATCGTCCTCGTCCTCCTCCGGGCCCGGCTGCGGTGGCTCAGCAGGAGCGGCAGGCACCGATGCAGCCAACGCCCGTGCCATCGGACCCAGCAGCATTCCGCGCTCGATGAAGTCTACGCGTGCAGCCGCAAGTTTGTTGAGGCGATCATTGATTGTAAGCATTTGACCGAGGGCTTCGTATCGGCTCGAGCATCGCCACGGCTCCTTCACGGCTTTAATGTGTTTCGATTCCGTGATTGAAGAACAGAGCCCATTTGGTGCGCCGAACTCTTGGATGAGGTACCGGTAGTGGGTGAGGGAGTGTTGGTGGGGGAGACAGAACCCGTTTAGACAGACTCTGCTTTCCTCGAAAATCTTGCGCTCAGAATGATACCAAGCCAGTGCAGCATCAATGTCGAGCAGGGTAGCCTCGTTAACGATATTGCGTCGCACTAGGTAGCAAAAGTCGAGGAATGCGCTGAAGGTGCGCAGCATCTGGGCTGGAACATGGCCCTCGATAGCCGGGAGGTAAACCTAAAGTTTGTCGGTCGGATGAATATTTTATTATCGAAATTCTACGGACCTTCACGAGCGCCTTCGAGTCATCCCCAGTCCACTGCTTGAGCCCTCGACCTTCGGGAAAGCGGCGTAGCCCCGGGAACGGAGGGACAGCTGCGATCCTGCAGAAGGTTTGTCAGAATATGGCACGGCACGGCAAATAATTTATCGGACCGCCGGTCAATGTCCGCCATAATTTTCTTCGCTGCAGTGGTTCCGTGCACCTGCTCCAGATACTCGCCAATCCAGGTGACGAGATGATCCTTGAAGGTCCCTTTAATAACCTGGTGTAGAAGGTCGGGCGAAAGAAGTTCATGGATGTCCGCCCGCGGAAACATCCATGTGAAGGGCTGGTTATAGATGAGCAGGATCGGCCACGAAGACAGTGAAGCACGCACTAAAATGTCGGGGATGACACCATAGTCATCCCACAGTGTCTTGTGGTCGAACACGTCAAACAGGGCCTCCGTGTGTGGCTGAGAGCGACGTCCGCTCGGACCATCCAGGTCCTTATTCGAGGCTGTACATCTATATCAAACAATGATGAGCTAGAGGAAATCCAGAGGGCTGCGCTACTGACCTCGCACACCAGCCCTGCACGGTGCAGGTGAGAAGAACTTGCTCCGGGTAATCCGCGATGTATGGGCCTAACCCATAGATGACGCGGCGGTAGTGGCCGTCGGCAAAAAGAGTGACCTCGGGCACGGTCATCGCAGGGCGCAGGGACTCCAGGATGTGGCGGAGAGAGCCATGGAATAGATTACGGTGAAATGTCCGAAATTCAGCGCTATCCTGATTCTCTCGATCGGCTGCAAAAGCGGATAAATAAGGAGAGCAAACGGGATGCAAGCGGGAACACACTTTTAGGAATAGCGAGGAAACCAATCAAGGTTACAGCATTATGATGCGCCTGCCGGACGTTGTTGTGGACAAGCCCATTGAACATATAGAGCGGGTAATATTTGTTCTGGCCCGTAGCGACAGAGACAGTGGTCTTGTTGCTACCGAGAATAATGGGAACAAATGTAGAGCCGTGGGTATTGATGTCTTGCACGATAATGTCCTGTGCCGAGAGCTCAAAACAGAAGGACAAAAATAACGCAGAAAACTTACCGCTTGACGCCAGGCCCAATTACCGGATATAAAGTCCTCGTATTCGCGACTGTTATCCTCCCCGAAAACCCGTTTTGGAGCAAAGTCCATCTCCAATTTAAAGTCGGGATTCGCGAGCTGATTTTGGAGCACCTTGCGCGGATCGCGGAAATGCACAGTATAGGGTTTCATTTTCCACAGCGTAATGTCGCCGGGAGGGATAGGCTGATTATATGTGACCTCGAACGATTGCCAGGGGACATGGCCAATCTCCGTGGCATCAATTGTGTTGTAAAGGTCTCGTGGTCGGCGAAGGGCGGATCCCCCGCAGACTCTGTGTCATGATCCGGAATTCTTTTCCGATATCCCGGGGTTCAACTCCGTTATTCCGGACTCAACCCCTCCACATCCCGATCGTAGGAACAACGATCGGTATTAATATTGCGCATTAACCCTATGTGTCCTGTTGCCACAGACACCAAACCCCCTAATCCCCTATAAATCCCTTGGCGCTTGTATATAAACCCTGTACTATTCTACTATTCTCTATACTATTCTGGTCTATACTCCAGCTGCTTGTTTGCTTGTCCCCTTCACTCTGCTTTTCCCTCGTCCAGTCGCCTCAGTCGCGTTTCGAGAACCCGACGAGCCGCTGTGCTGACAAAAGAATAGTATCTCCCAAACACTACTCGACTGGACAAGATGCCGCGCGTAAATCCGGTGGAATTTGACGAGTTCATCGCCCACGGGCCGGACACAGAACCCGATATCTCTTCAACAAATCTCTCGACGATGCGGAGAGTATGGCCGAAGAGTTGCGGAAAATCAACACTTCCGGCACTACCTTGGAGACCATGGTTACGGGATTACAGGGGACCGTGACGGAGTTGCAGAAGAGCATGGCTCGTATGGAGGAGGACAGGAGCACCACCACCGGGATGGTAGCGACCGCCTTGGAGATGATGAAAGAAGCGAGAGACGAGATTAGAGAGATGCGCCAGGCAGAAGCTCCTATCGGAGGCACTGCCCAGGCACGGGAAGTGCGGGTGAACACGAAACAGCCTCGAGTGGCCGCCCCGAACGTGTTCGGTGGCGATCCCGAGAAGGTGGACCAACTCCTCGCCGACTGCTGGCTTAACTTCCAAGGCAACACCGCGTACGACAGTGATATCGCGAAGATCACCTATTGCCTTTCCTACATGAAGGACGGGGCCGCCGCCTGGGCCAACAACGTCGTGCAAGCCATGCGTAAAGGGGACGGCACGGGAGCCTACAAGACCTGGAAGGAGTTCGAAGAAGCCGTCGTTCAGGACTTCAAGGGGGGGCA